TTCTTGGGAGGGGAGATTTAGAAGAGGGGCCTGCCAGCTGGGCCTCAAGAAGGCTTTCTCCTGCAGGACACAAGCCCATGCAGCAGGGTATCCACAGCACAGATGTGCCTCTTAGTTTCACTTACCCTCCCAAAGCAGCCTGCACCCCACTTCTTCTTAAATCTCCCCAAAGCCCTGCTTTTGTTGCAATTTTACTCTTCTTGGATATGACAAGCATTTCCCACTCCCAGCTGTACAAGCCCCAGGACAGGAATCCCAGGCCCTCTTCAAGGTGGCCTGGTTCCCATGACCTGATAGTGGAGATGTCAAGAAAGGCTGATTGGGGCCACCTTGAAGAGGTGTCCCCTCAACCAGCTCTTATTTCAGCATTTGCTCTCTTGCTCAATACATCCTTCTTCCTGGGTCACTGGATTTGTCTGTACAATAGCTGAGTTTATGGATGTTCTATTTGGTTCATAAATCATCATTGCTATTGTAGCCATCACTTACAATGTGGAGGGAGTTATATGAGGCAGGAGATTGGTGGTTATAGACCCAGGCTCTGCGGCCAGACCATCTGGGTTCAATCCCAGCTTTGCCGCTTTCTAACTGGGAAAGCTTGTTACCTGAATTTTGCATCTCAATTTCTTCTGTGAAAAAATTATAGTATCTCCCTCTTGAGGTTGTTGTGTGGTTTAAGAAAGTTATTGTATATAATGAATCTAGAATGGTGTGTGGCATGCAGATCCCTCTAAAAGCATTGTGTCTTTTTTTGTTTTGTTTTGTTTTGTTTTATGGAGTGGGGATCTCTGTAAAAGCGTTTGCTGTTATTGTTATGCCAATGGTTTAATTGACTCCTCATTACAACTCTGAGCAAGTTTCTGTTATAATTGCCACTTTACAGATGGTAAGAAGAGGCCTAGAGTTTGAATGACTTGCCCAAAGGTTCTACAAACCCCTGAGCTGCAGAAACTCTTCCCTTTGGCCCACTACTAACCCTGGGGCCTGCTTACGTCTCAGCTCTTCTGTAGAGGCCCCACAGCCCACAGGGCACTAAGCTTCCATCTACCCCTTCTCGAGGCTGCCAGACATCTTTCTGCATCTTGTCAGAGCTCAAGGCTACCAGCTGCTGGGGAAGCGTGGCAGCACAAATTGGAAGGACTTGAGCCAAGGGTCCCTGTAAGTAAATAACCTTCCACCAGCTTTCTGGGGAAAAAGCCTGTGAGCTGGTTCCTCTTCTCTGCTCTTGGTGGAGAAGCACTCCTGACTCGGTGTTAACCCTGCTGGTGATGTGGCCAGTGAGAGTGGAGGAGGAGCCTCAAGGGAAGTGAAGCATAGGGCTTGGCAAGCAGGGCCTCGAAGAGAGGATCAGGGTCTGTATGCCAGTGGCCCAGGTCAACCAGAAGCACGGGGCTGGGCTCAGTAACTGTGGGAAGGAGGCCACTCAGACGTCGAGGAAAAAGAACAGCAATGGATGCAGCAAACCTGAGTTCTAGGCTTGGCTCTGCCACTGACCAGCAGCACGACCCTGGGAGTCACTCAAATTCTCTCGCATCCATGTTCTCATCTATACAATGGGAGTAAAGTCTAACTTCCAGACATGTGGTGAGATAAAATAATACATACTCTGTAATAAATAATATGTCATAATAACAACACAAATTAATGTGAATTTGAATAATGATCTAAAATGGCCAAATTAATTTGGATAGGAATTCTGGACAATGCAAACATATCTGTACAATTTTTGGTCTCTTTTAAAAATGTCATTCTTTGCCTTTTCTTACTAAATATGTTTTTGTTTGTTTTATTAAAGCTGTTTTTTTTTAGCAGCTCTTTTGTGTCTTGACTAAGCTAAGGAGATTAAGGGAGCTGTGTTCGAGCCATGATCAGGCTGATGTGATGGGGGGCTGCTGAGCACCCAAGCTTGCAGGTGTAGGAGGGGGTGCTCCTCTCAGCAGGGCCTCAGGGTAATAAATAGGCAAAGATTGATGAGGTGAACCTGTACGAGATGGAGCAAGGGGACATTTCTCCGTGTTGAACCTGTACGAGATGGAGCAAGGGGACATTTCTCCGTGTTTCGGGTGGAAGATAATGTGGATTGGCTCCCGCATCCCGCCATCCTTTCTCCCTTCCTCCAGGGTGCTTTTCTGCATTGTAGAGGCAGGGAGGCCGAAGCTTCACTTTCCAGAGCCCCTTGTACTCAGGGCTGTGTATGCCAATTAAGGTGATTTAATTAGAAGCAGTTGTGTGAGACTGCGAGCATGGAAGTGAGGCAGGGCACACCTCCCTGTCCTTTTGTCTATTTCCTGTGGACAAGACAGGGGCTTGGAACTTCCTCTGTAGCAGCTTTCCAGGGCCCCTTCCCTGGCTTTAGGGGGTTGAGTGGCAGGTGCGGGAGCTTCCTGCTCCCTGGTCTGCTGGTTTGGTGGTGTGTTCTTGAACTCAGAGCCCCCCCTGCTCCTCCAGCCCTCCCAATGCTTGTGTAAACACCTAAATCCCTGAACTAAATTCCTTGGCACCTGCTTGGAATACCCAGAAGAGTTTCTGATCCTGCTCTGAACCCTGCCTGGGGTGAATAGCGTGGGACTTAGGTGCTATGAGGCTCGATCCCTGCCAGGCACCAGTGATGGCAGAACCCTGTCTAAGGGGACAGCCCCACTTTTCAAACTGACACCTAGGAACAATGATGGAGGAGCATGATTTGGAAGGAATCTAAGTCCCTGAGTGACCATGAAGGCAGAAATGCACTGCTGACCTGTGCCTTTCGCACTGTTAGAGGAGAGAGAAATAATCTTTTTTGTTCATTAGGTCATTGCATTACTGGGTTATGGCAAGGTATTGGCACGAAGTCACTGTCAGGTGTAATACCTTAGCTCAAACTCCTCTCTCTCAGAACAGGTGGTTCAATGGAAGAACCTAACAGCCAAGAAGCCAGAAAGCTATAGTTGGAGTTGATGGGGGGGAGAAAGTATAAAGAAACAAAGTCTGGGATTCTCACACTCGGTTCTGGATGCACACCAGCTGGTCCACTCAAGGGTTTAGCAATAAAATAGAATAATGTCAATAATGTCCTTTTTGATGCTCAAGGAAAGTTAAGTAAGTGGGTAAACTATCTCAATTTTCAGCTTCATTCCCACACATTTGGCACCTGTTGCCTCCCAGCAAACGACACCAAAGGAACTTAGAGCAAACAAAATTATTTTCCTTCTCAAAAAAAAATATATATATTTCAAAAATTATAGAAGTGACCCACGCTTAATATGAAAAATGCAAGCAATATAGAAGATGGGATGCCAGATCCTGCCTCCCCATTCCCAGGCCCACTGCTCAGGGGAGCTCCAGTTGAGCATTGGTGTGTTCTCTTCTCTCCTCCTCGCCCTTCTCTCGGAGGCAGTGCCATGGTGGGAGCTGAGGAGAAGATGGGGCTGAGGAGGTAGCTGACCTGGCCAGGAAATAGGCTATACATGAGAATTGAGCAAATAAGTAAATATACTGAGGATGACTGGAGTCAGGCTGCTCACTGTTGGAGAAGGGAGTTATAAATAAGGAAAAGGGGGAAACTAAAGAGAAACCTGAGGTGTTGAATTAGAATTGGAAGTAATAGTGTGAATTCATGCTTTTTAAATTTACCTATCCATCTATATACACAGATAGATACGTATGTGTGTGTAGGCGTGTGTATGTATGTAAGTATGTATATACTTTTTTGTCTGCAAAAAGTGCTTAGAAGCAATGGCATCCCCAGAAGAACGAAAAATCAAGCATTCAATCTTGGTCTGTAAATCCCATCTTCCACTAAAAGGAGAATTGACTAAGTTCAGGGCTGGGACTAGGAACACTCAAGAGGAGCCTGGAACATGTGTCTTTTGTGGCACAAGTAAGAAAGTGCTCAAAGAATGAAGGGATCATGTTGAAAGGAGACAGCCTGGAGAGCTTTGCACTGGCCAAATCTGGGACAATTTGAGCATTAATATAAATAATGATAAGAATAAATTATATCTTATTGAATAAATTAGAAACTCATGAGCCATGCTAATGAATAAATAGGGAGAAAGGAACGCTCTTCCCCACAGTAGGATGCTAACCATTTGGCCATTATGAGTGGTGGTGAATTCAGGCAGGAGTCAGCAATGGATGCTAAGATATCTCCTCACAAAATATTGATAAAAGGAAAAATTAATCAATTTATGGTAAATGTACCTGACGGACACCACCTTGAGCAGGTGATCAAGGTTAACATTATGTATCCTGTGATGTGATGCACTCAGAAAAGCCAGGCATATTTTCTATGGAGTCCCTGCCACGAGGGTGCCACCTGGGTCTGGACATGAGGGGACGCTGGACAGACCAAAATTGAGGGACATCCTCCAGAATGAAAGATTTCTACTCCTTGAAACTGTCAAGACTATGAAGATAGGGCAAGACTGAGGAAATGCCTTAGAAAATGAACCATGAAAACGAGCAGATTCATAGAGAAAGAGGGTGATGGGGCAAATGTGAAAAAAGTTAACAAGTAGAGAATCTAGGTGAAGAGAGGACAGGCAGGACCTCTTTGTTACTACTACTCTTGCAACTTTTATTTCAAAATGAATTTTAAAAAAGTTTTGTGTGTATCCATCATTTTTTCCCCCTGGTAAATGTATATATGTACATGTGTGTATTTGCATATATGCGTATACATTTATCCAGAAGCTCAGGTCCCAGCCCAGACTGGTTAAATCTGAATTTGGGGGTTTGGTACCCAAGCATGTGGATCAAAGAAAAACCAAAAAACTCCTCAGGTGATTCCAGTGTGCAGTTAAATTTGAGAACCAGTGATGTCTGTAATCCAGTGTTCACCATAAGCACCAGTACAGTTTGTTAAAAACAATTCCTTGACCGGCTTCCAGGTGGGACCGGGGCCGTCGTGAGCCGGCAGGGGAATGGGCACAGGTGGTCCAGGCCCCGCCCCCGCGGCCCCGCGGGCGTCGTGCGGGCCCCAGGTGCCTTCGATGAAAGGCCGGGGCAGCCTGTGGACCCCTTGCGCCGCCATGGATGCCGCGCCCAGCCTCCTGGGCACCCCGCAAGCTGAGGTGCTGGAAGAAGTGCTGCGGGAGCAGTTTGGGCCGCTCCCCCAGCTGGCCGCCATCTGCCGACTCAAGCGGCTGCCCTCCGGCGCCTACTCGTCCACCGAAGACCTCCAGTTGGTCCTGGAGCGGCGGCGAGTGGCCAACGCCAAGGAGCGCGAGCGGGTGAGCGCCTTGCCGCGCGCGGGTCCCCAAGGCCACCCTGCCCGGCAGCACCACGACCCCGCCCCTGGACGTGAATGAAATCCTCCCCGCTCCTCCTATACCTGCTACCCACCTCTGAACACCTGGTTACGACCCCGTGCACCCACTCACCGCCCACCCGCGGGGCCCAGAGGCGACCTCGGCCTCCTGAGGGCGGGCTCGTGGCCTAGCCTGGGAGAAGGACAGTGGCCTCATCACCCTCCACTCTGGTCCACAGCTTGTTCGCGGCCTCGCGGACGGCCGCCTCACCTGCCGACCTTCTGGTACTTGTGCAGAAACTGGGTTTGGGTAGGCCTACGGAGGCCCCTGACGACTTCAAAAATGTTTCCCCTTAGCAGGTGCTTTTGGAAAGCTTAGAGGATGGAAGTTGCGCTTAAATGTCAAAACCGAGTGAGCTGGGTGGGTGCTCGGGGTGCACAGGACTCCCGTCACCCATTTTCCCTGCGCCTGCATCTCTGCCTCGAAGCACAAATGGGTAAGGCGCGGACCTGATAGAAACGACTCTTTAAACAGAAAAACCACGACGCCTCAGTGTGCGCCCAGACTCTTACTCGACCCCCTGCCAAAAGAAAGTGCCTGTTTCCCAATCCGGCGGGTGTCGCCTGAAATCACCAACCCGAATGGTCCCGTGGGCCATAGTCGGAGCGCCATCTAGCGGTAGCTTTTAGTATTTCTGACTAAACTTGTGCCCCAGACTTGGCAGATCTGGTCTCCTTTGGTCCCTTTGCGATCTATTGGGTTGTGCTGCAGCAGAAGAGGATCCTAGAAAGGGAAGGGTGAATGGTGGAAGAGGCAGGGGTGCGTATTTAGACTGGGACTTGAGGAGGAAGGTCTGTGGGGGCTGTTCCTACACACCCCGGGCCCCTTAGAAATGTAGACCCAGTGAATCAACTAGGAGCTTTGTCTGGGAAAGGTGCGAGGAGAAGGACCAAGGGAGAGTAGAAAACTTAAGGGAAAGTTGGGAAAATTGCAAGAGTCTCCATGGTTTTACCAGGCACTAGACCCTTTATGAAAATAACCCTGTGATCTGATGTGATGATGTGGCCCTCAAACAAGGTTCTGATCCAATATTTTGCATTTTGGGTGGGCCTTCGCACCAGGAAGGAATTGCTTTCTGCGGAGAATTGGTCCTCATGTTATCTACTGTTTTAAAGCTAGTCACCTTTATTCTATATAATGATACAATTAATGCACCTGGATATAAAACAAATAAGTCCCGGGGATGTAATGTACAGCATAGTCATTACAGAATATAGTCAATATATTGTGATAGCGTGGTACAGTGTTAGATGGTTGCTGGACTTATGGTGATCACTTCTTTAGGTATATAAATGTTGAATAACAATGGTGTACCCCTGAAACTAATATAATTTTGTATGTTAGCTATATTTTAATACAAATCTTAAAAAAATAAGAAACTTAGGGAAAAAATACACCTGGAAAATATAGAGATGCCTAAATAGGGAGCAGAAACACCCATCACACAAATGTAACAACCAGGAACTATCATTCTTGTGTAAACTTTCAGTCTTTTTTTTTTTAGTTTTGTGTGTGTGTGTGTGTGTGTGTGTGTGTGTATAATTTTACAAAATTGTGACCATCTAGTACATATCTTTATCCTTTTTTTCACTTAACAGTATCAAAAGCGTTCCCTCATATTCCTAAGCATTCTTTCCAAGAGCAGCTTTTGACTGCATAGTCTGACATAGAAATGGACCATAACTTATCCAGTCTCCCATTGTGGGGAATGCATGCTTTTTGTATCTTTTTACTGGTACAGAAATCTCTGTGCATGCCTTACCAGAATAATGTCTTATCTTGCTTTAGAATAAAATGCTAGAATTAATGGGATATATACAATCTTATAATTTTTTGATACAGGTTGCCCAATTGCTTCCTAAAAAAGTTGACTAATTTTTATCCCCTTTTACAAGATATAGGACTGTTTCCTTTTTCCATCCTCCATGCTGGGTATAGCTAACAAAACAAAAGTGTTATCAGCTCGGTACATAGAACATGGTATCTAATTTCTGTTTTAATTTATAGTTCTTTAATTATTAAAGTTTAATATTTTCATAAGTTTATTTGTCACTGTATTCTGCTGTGAATGGACTGACTATGCCCATTGTCCATTTAAATGTGAGGTGGGAGAGGACTCTCTATATAAGTGAGTACACGAGTTTTATGGTATAGTTGGAGCTGAGTTTTTCCAGAGCCTGTGTCCCCCAGGGGGTGATCATAAGCATTTCAGGGCTTTGGAGATGAGGGCTTAGGCCCTGGAGATTAAAAAAAAAAGGCGGGCACTTCATCCTACTTTCAAGTCTGGCAACAGGCAGTCTCTCTGGACTCTAAGACTTGACTCTAAATCATCAACTCTGCTGGGAAAGAAGTTGAAGAGTTATAACAAACTACAAGGTGGGTATTTTCCACTTTGCAGATAAACCAGGGCCTGGTGATATGAAGTCTCTTACACACTCTTGTAAAGCTTAATGGTAGAGCTGGGATTTAAATCCTGCTGTATTGACTAAGAGCTTTTAACCACTCTCCCTACTGCCTCTACATTACATTGCAGTGGGTGTGCTCTCAGAGGAAGAAGAGGGGGTCAAGTGAGCATAGACACCCCTCCAGCCTGTCCACCTACAATGCTGAGTTTATGTTGCTCCCTTTCCCCTTGCCCAGAACTATTGTTGGTGGGGTGCTGAGATTTCCCACTCAGACAAGAGAGCTGTGGAAATGAGCCTTCAAAACCCCCTTGTGTGGGGCCGGCCGAGTGGTGCGATGGTTAAGAACTGGCTTGGGACACCAGAGGGCCCCGGTTCGGATCCCACATATGAGGGTCAGTGACACTGTCCTCCACAGCTAAGATGCTGAACAGCAGCTCAACCTGGAGCTGGGCTGCCGTGGGTTGCTGGCGACGGCGTAGTCTGCAGCCCCTGTGGCAGTGGGTTACCATGGGCTACCGTGTGTAGCCACCAGCCAGTGTGAGCGGCCAGCAGCTGCAGTGAGTGGCCGTCCAGAAGCCAGCGACTAATCTGCCTCACCCGGGAAGAGCGCAATGATGGTGCCAACTTGGGCCAGTGAAGCAACGTCCTCCACAACTAGACTGAAGAACAAAACGACAGCAACTTGTCTGTTCCCCTTCCCCCAATTCCCCAGCACTGTTCCCATCCCCCCAATTCCCCAATAAATTATCTTTAAAAAAAACAAACAAAAAAAACCCCCTTGTGTGGTTTGGGGGGGATGTCTGTACAAATTAGCTTCTCTGTGTGTCACTGTGCCTTTTTGCTTTCCAGATAAAAAATCTCAACCGTGGGTTTGCCAAACTGAAGGCACTGGTGCCGTTTCTTCCTCAAAGCAGGAAGCCTAGCAAAGTTGATATTCTTAAAGGCGCGACTGAATACATACAAGTTCTCAGCGATGTTTTGGAAGGAGCCAAAGACTCTGAGGTAAAGGGCTAAGAAATGAGAACAATGATACACATCGTTTATCGAGCCCGTTCTATGTGCCAGACAATTTATGTAGCCATTCCAGTTAGTGTATAACAATCCTCTGATTTGTCGTCCTCATTTTATGGGGGAAGAAAACAAAATACAGGTAAAGGCCACACAGTTAAGAAATGTCAGGACCGGGGATCGAGTGCAGGTCTGTGAGAGCTTTGGAGCCAAGTTCCTGGCCAGATACATAGTTCCCTCCTGTCAGTGTCCAGGGCACCGAGCTCCTACCTGCTGAATCTTTAATAGGAACTTGGCAGCTGGGACATGAGAGGGGATTTCCATAAACCCACTCTGTAGTGGTGGCTTCTCTTCAGCAGGAAAAGCATCAGAGAGAAAAAGAGAGGCATTTCTGTCCCTAAGGAGCCTCCCTTTGGAGAGGCCCTCCCTGACAGACAACGCTGCTGGATAGCTCAGCAATCGCATGGGGTTTTCTGACCATTCAGGGGGACAGCATAAATGAAACTGCTTTACAAACTGTGCAGCACCAGAGTGTCACCAGTATTATCAGGGTGCACAGCCCAGACATGCGGGTTGGTTTTATGGGCTTGTTCCTTGGAGAGGCAAACCTTGAAGGCCTGAAAATGGACTAATCACTAGAGGAAAGATATGAAGAGAGAAAAGGCCTTAGAAATGAGCCCTAAGTGACATCACGGATGGGAGGAAGGAGGCGCCATCAGAGGGAAGGGGCCAGGAAGGTAGTACAAAAGCAGGATAGGTCCTGACGTCAGACAGGGGGTACTCTTGGGAATCTGAGGGTGGGAAGTAGTGGGAGAAGCAACAGAGAGGCTGGAAAAGGCAACCAGGCCCAGTATTTGAGATGTGTAATAGGAGCTGGTTGGAAGCCAGCTCGTAGTGGGTTGAGGATGTGTTATTGGTATAGATCTGGAGTCCAAGCGGAGGGAAGTGCCAAACTTCAAGTCTGTTCAACCTGGAAGACTGAGACTAAAAGAAAGATTCCCCCTTCCCTGCACTCACCCCCCCCCCCTCAAATAAAAGGAAGAGGAAAAGCTGTAAAGAAGAGCCAGTAAAGGTATTTTCTAAATAGCAACCTGATTATGTTTAGGGACAGAAGAGCAGGACAAAAACTAGAGAGAAGAGAAACAATCTAGAAACTTAGGGCAGAAATAGGCAGGTGTATAATGCTACTTTTTAGGTTTCTTTTTCCCTTGTCTACTAGTCCTACTTAGGTGACTACTAGGATGATAAATTCTACAGTGATGGGAATAGCTTGGCCAAATCTGATGGTTGGGTTGCGGCATGGTTATAGTGTTCGCTAATGTGCAGGCAGCTGCCTTAGTTTTTTCATGCATGTTGACCATGTAACAGAAGTACTTTGTTTTATGCTGCATTCATTAAAATATAGGATCTGTTCCATGCTAGAACCTTTTTAATGAAGTTGCCCCTTGTACAACACCTTCAGGTTACAGAAGAACAAAATACAAGTTATTGAACAATGATTTTTTTCTCTCCATAGTAACTTAAGCGTTGCCCTTATCACTTAAATGCAACTTGATCCATTAAACTTTTGAAATATATTGATTCGAATCTTCAAAATCTAACTGTCGTACTATCTGACAACTAAATACGGTTTCTAGAAACAAGATCATCAGAACTATAGCAACAATACTTCCGAACCACATGCATCCTTGGCTAGAGAGCTATTGAGAAACAACACCCAGCATGCCAGCTGTGCTGTGGGCTTGAAGAATGAGGAGGAAGGGCCCTGGGCAGATGGTGGCAGTGGTGAGTCGGCATACACTTGTCGCCAGAGTGTGATGTCTACGACTGGAGTTATCTCCCCAACCAGGAGTCTGGTAAAGTGTTCCTTCTTAAATGGCAATATAGATGTCAAAAGAAGCTCAAAACGCATCCCTCTAGGCATGTGGTATTTTCCATGCTAAACCATGAGTGGAACAAGACCATTTTGTGAAAGTACTTTAGTGGGAGGTGGAGTTTGCTAGTTTGAAAGATGTATTATTATGTCCCCAAATTAAGTGGTCAGCAGCTCAAGGGGAAGGCAACTCCTTCCAACCACTCAACATAGATGTAAGCTTACCTTTTTATGACCCTAATTGACACATCAAAAGATTTTTCTGGGTTCTGTGGTCTCTAGAAAAAGAAATAAGTGCTATATTGTCATACATAAAGCTGCATGGTGATACCACACACACACACACACACACACACTTGTTTTTTAAAAAAATTGTCTTTGTTAGAAGGCAGCATTTTCTAAGTAATAACAAAGGAGTTTATTGTAACAGTGCTTACTAAGTGCCAAGCTAAGCGAAGCCCCTGGAGGTAGCAGCTTACTTCTCCAGGTCTAGAAAGAAGACTTTTGGCCCTTGCTGTGTTGCACTGTTACACAAATGAGACCCCTTGCTCCATCCTACAACACATTTGCTATTGAAATAAGAAAGGCTTGTCAGGATCTGGAACCAAAAATGCTGTAACAGGCAAGTTGCTTAGTGTGAGGTAAGGGACAGTGGGGGCTGTGGAGTCATAAATGATGGTTGGTGGTGGGAGACGGTTTCAAATAGCAGTTGAGTGCAGGCTTTGGAGTTAGAATGCTGAGGTTCAAACTTTGGTTCTACCACTGGTTAGTTAGCTGTGTGATCGTGGGTGAGCTACTGAATCTTTCCAGTTCTCAGTTTCCCCATCTGTAGAATGGGAATGATAACTGTACCTACCTGGTACAGAAGACAACTGTGAGGTTCAAATGGCATCATGTCAGTGACGTGTCTGGCACAGTCAGTGTTCACTTGGGCATACGTTATTAAGTCTGCTGACTCACTACGAGCAATCAGTCTTGATTGGTGAGCAATTAAAAATGAGCCACAGGCAACCTTGCTCTGTTTGTAGCAAGTGTTCTGGGTTTTCTCACTTGGTTGTCACCAATGCTCCACTCTGGTTTGAGGTCTTACAGGCTGCCTGCTGACTGGTGGGCCTTGGTTCGCATTTCTGATTGGATTACTGTTTTCTAAGGATTCCATTTGTGCACATGCTCTGTCTAGAGTCCCAAATTCTGGCCACTTGAGATATAAACCTTCCTTTGCCAGTCAACCCGTAGGAGACAGAATTCCTGTTGCTACTACATGAGCTAATAGGGAATGACTGAGAACAAAAGAAAAGAGTGAAGACATGTCGTGAATGGAAACTTGAACCTGGCTATCTAAGTTAATAACAGTAATGTTTCCACAAATGTAAGTTTTAGTATGTACTAGAGATTAAGGCAAGACTCTTGCTTGCATTTAATCCCCGCTGATCCCAGGTAGGCATCACCATGCCATTCTCTTGGTAAGCTACCTGGCTCTTCTTTCTGCCTGTTGAGCCTGGTAGCAGAGCAGACCTACGTTGGCAACACCAGCAGCAAAGATGTATAGGAGATCCATGTTTTCCAAGGGTAATTGATCCTGGAAATAGGCCCATTATAGGAAATTGCTTTAAAGTGGGGATTAACATTTTCTAGTAGGAAACAAAAGTTCTGACCGGAAATTTCTTTTAAAAAGGGAACAAGACACTTAATGTTTAGTCTTTTAGCTAACCAAGTTTAAGTTGTTAATTGAAAGAGTGCTAATTCTTAGAATGAATAAAGAATTAGTCATCTATTTGAGATTTTTATAGATGTGTGTAACTTCTGTCAAGTGGGCCTTCTAAAGCCTGAATGTAAGGAGTGCCACGGGGCCGTTCTTGGATTTCATCAGTTTTGTCAAGAGTTTCTCACCATTTGAGAGTAAGTTGACCACCTGATG